ACACCTTTGTTGCCCTTCTCTAGGAACAGGCAGAATCCCACTGAAGATCACCTGAGCCTCGATTTCCTTAGGCGCCTCCCCCGGCCTGGCATAGTCTCCTTTGATCCGGTCCAGAAAGAATCTAGCCATATCATTTGTTCCCACATGAAGGACAATCAGCGGAATATTTCTAGCTCCCATTAGGAGCAATTACAGCCTCAGGTTCACATCCCGTATCTTAGCACCCGGCAGACAGCACACCCTTCTGTTCTCTGGATCAGCTCTAATTACAGGCCTGTCTATTCTTCTCAGTAAGGAGTCCCCAATCACTTAGACCTGCCTTTTCCTGGTGATGGTGTGATTCTCCGGTCTATCCCCTGCTCCCTCTGACTGCAAGTCCTCTCGATTTCTATTGTCCCTTGCAATTCTCCGCAATCCATCCTGTATCCTCCTGGGGCTCATATTTGGTGTTGTAATCTCCATTGACTCTTCCCTTCTTCCTATAGGACTAGCTGCTCTTCTCTTCTTCCTTGCCCTCTCACCTTCAGCGACCACCTGCTGTGCCCCTTCTTCATTTTCCAACTCCGCAAACCTGTTCCTGAGCTCTATTTCTCCTTCACTAGTTCGTCTTTTCCTCTGCCTCGTTCTCTTAGTCACATGCTTCCACTGTCCACTTTCCTCACCCAGCAGTCTCCCCTCAGAGTTCTTTGGTCCTGCTTCCATCTGCAAGTCTGAGCTTTTTCCTTCAGTCTCCTTATGTCTTTGCTCCATCATCTGCTCGAACCCCCTTCTAAACTCCACCAGAGTTTCCACCTGCATCTCCAAACCTCGGATCTTTTCTTCCATCAGCTCTATCAGGCGACACTTCATGAAAATTAAACTCTTTTCAGATACCCCCTCCAGGATCATGTACATGTCGCAGCTTCCACATCCAGTCATCTTCATTGTGTCTTCCACTGCTGCCTCTGTATCGGTCATGGCCTTCCCACCTAAAATCTATTAGTCCGGGAAACACAAACCAAACCACCAACACCCACAGCAAAACAAACCCCCAACAGGCACCAAAACACCGGCAGAACAGCACCCCCTCCCTTCACTAGCCTGTCTATTCCTCTGCCTAGCTCTCTTAGTCTCCCCCGCAAACTCCCCTTGAAAACTCCCATTGAAACTCCCCTGTTTACAGCTCTGTTTGCTGGCTCCTGTGCCGCTGCAGCTGTCTATGCCGCTGCCTGACTGGCTGGCTGGCTACCTTCAATTGGTGCTAAGAGGACGTCAAGGCACAACAGCCAAAACTTGAAAAAGGTAACAGTCTGGTCATTGAAATGCAGACATAGAACTTGATATGCAGAACAAACACAAATGGCACATGGTTTAGGGTCTGATTGTCCACCCTAGCTCACATTAAGTAATACCTTACTCCTACTGAAACCAATGGACTTTGTGCAGGGCCCACAACTGATGAGGCTGTAGAAGAAAAGAAGAAGAAAAGCAGCGTGCCCTTGGCGTAGGCCAAGATACCATACAATGGATACAACCTAACTGAGAGAACATCTCAACATGATATAGGTCCCAGACTCAGAAAAGTACTTAAGCACATCCTTCACTTTAAGTATGAGCCTACATCCCATTGAAGTCAATGAGTTTGCTCGATGAGTCCTGTCACAACCTGGCCTAGTCCCCCTTTGCATGGGGACACAACCACTGGATCTCACATGCGACTAAGCCACCTGAGCCTGGGAAGAGCTGGGTCACTGTTCACACCTCTAGGTCCCTCCCAGGGGCAGACTTCATGGCTGCTCCCCTTCCTTGGGATGTGGGGTCCCACAGCCTGTCTGCCTTAGACCCTGAAGCCAACACTTCAGCCCTCTTGCGCCCCCTGCCTCCACATTTGCTTATACATTCCCCCTCAGAGGTCCACCTTCCTGTGGGCACTTTGAGGGTCTCATTTAACCCCTTCAGGAAAAATGTGGCAGGCAAGTATGGAATACAGGCTTAGCAAAAGAATTTCTTAACCACAGCCACTTTACTCATAAGAAATCACTAGAGAATTACAACTCTCTGCAAAATAACGAAAGTCCTGAGATCTGGTTCTCACTCCTTCTGTGAGCCTGAGATCTGGTCAGCGTTTCAGGCAAGGCAGAGTCCCCCCCTGCCTTTTCTCTCTTTCCAACCTTGTTTTCTGGCACATGGTGATGGTCGGTCTTCCTGATCAGAGAAGCCCACCCTTGAATACAGTCTCTGTCCCTATTTGGCCCATGTACTCCAGCTGGGAAATTCTAGACCCTTCCCGCAGCTTGGCTTATGTGCAGAGAGTCCATTGTCCCAAGAAGATGGTCTAGTAGTTGACAGATAATCAAAGGTTGATTGCTCTGTGCTAATTTCACTATCACATTCATTCAACCAGGTGTCAAGCCCCTTTCCTGGGTAAGGTGTCTGTCTCATATATATCACAATAACCCTGCCCTGGGCAAGGTATACATGTGTTCAGTCTGTAATACAAACTGGATGCTCTAATCCAAAGTGGTGGTTACACTATGAAATGAAGGTCACAATGAAGGTTACAATCCAAGATGGAGGCTGCAATACATAATTCACAATTTGATACAGATATAGCTTACTCCGTCACAAGCCCACTGAATTATGGTGTGTTTTGTTTACCTCTGTCTTTTTTACTTCAAGTCAATGGGACTTCAGTCCATGCATAAGTGCTTTCCTGAACTGAAGGCATAAATCACCAAGGGCCTGATTCTGCTGCCCTTCCTCACACTGATAGTAACTTACTTTATGAGGAGACCCACTAGTTTCAGTGACTACAGCAATCTAATCGAGTGCCACTATACTGCATGACATGTGGCAGCATCTTAAATCTATCTGTAAAATAAAGTTGGTGCAGAACTTAGCCACTTGCTTGTTACAGGGGGCATCTACCTGGCAGCACATGACACTAGTGCTTTTGGATGTGTGCTGGCTACCTATTGGCAACTAGATAAAATTTAAGCTGCTGGTTGGTTTTAACCTATCACATATGTTCGTATTGGCCTAGGACCTATGTATCTTAAAGACTACCTCTCTCCTTATGCCATGCTGCCAGACTCGAGATCAGGAGGGACTCCAGAGTTGATGCCCCATTTGTACAAGAGAGGAGGGGTACCTGGAAGGCCATTCTCTGTGATGACCCTGTGGTTTTGGGACTCATTCGTTTGAAATTGTCCTAGTTTATCAACATTCAAGGCATACTGCAAGGCCCATACATTTGCCCTGTCTGAAAGAGTTTGGAAGTATATTAGAAGAAGATTGTAAAGATCTTAAATATATTTTCAGCTTCTGAGTTATGATATATACTAATTATTGGATGAGAGGGTTACTGGAGTTGTCTATTTTAAAACTGCATTTTTAAAACTTGCTTGGAGTGCCAAGAACAAGCACTCCTTTTTATGAGAGTAGTGAATAAATCCAAACAAATAAATACTCAATGTGAGCAAGGGGGACAGAATCAGCCACTAAATCATGTGCCACTTGTGGTTATTCTGCATGTCAAGTCCCATTCCTTCATTTCAGAGACCAGATTATTATCTTTTTCATGTTTTGCCTGGTTGTGCCTCTCCATGCCCTCAACACCAATTTAAGAGATGTTCTCGCCTCATAGTAATTGCAAGAAAATCAAATTCCAACTGTTTCTGCCAAAGGAAGGAAATGAAATGAGCAAAGTCCACCAGTTATGTATCACTTGCATGCTATCAATGGCTCTTCTAAGGAAACTTGTGCTCAGGAGAATTGCATGAAGCAAATAATCTACCTTCTTGATGAGAAATTTGCATGGAATGTGGGTCATGCCAGCTGGTAACCAGTTGGTTAAAATAAAAAACACAAAAGCTAAACTTGACAGCTGTGGATCAATATCTCTGGATTAGTTTACAGAAATCCAGATCAATTCAGTTGGAAAAACATGTCAGTGGACAACAAGACAAGAATTTATTACAAGGGCATTAAACTAAAGATGCTATAAACCCATATTACTTTTTTTGCCAGAAGAGGGCAAAGATCTCAAAGCTGCTCAAATGTATACATTCCTAGAGCTCTAGGCATAGTCGAATATCTCGGATGCCTTTTAGAATCAAGAGGTCTGCTTGAGAAAATCCACAGGGAAGCTTAATCAACTTCACTTTAGCAGAGAAATAGTTCTGTTTACTTGGTAGACATATCCCTGGTATTTTTTATTTTGTGGGGAGAAGAGGGAATTAAAACTATGGGAAAAGATGCTGACACAGGACCTACGTCTTATTGAGGTAGGTCAGCAAGAAGATCAGTAAAATATTCCTTTAATATATTTTCTTAAACTACAGAATGCTCTGGTTCCAACTGCATTACTCATTTACACTTGTAAAAGACTTGTCTAATATTATTAACAGTAACATTTCCCATAAGCTCATTCAGAGCTGTGGAAAGAACTGTGATTACGGATATCTGGCTTCCTGTAAGCCCTAGTACTGTTTGTCTATTTTCAGTTCGGCTCTGCTTTATTTCCTTCTTGCTACCACCAGTCTGGAATCCCACATTTGAGGGAAAAACACAGAATTAATAGAATTAATACTAAGGAACATAGCGGGGGAAAAAACTAAGTCTAGATTTTTCAGGAGGCAACCTATTTGGGTACGGTTATTCTTCCTGCCATTTTAATATGGTTGAGATAATAAAAGGAAGCTGAATACAGAATATGGACCTTCTTGGCTTATATTAGATGATTACAGTGGAGATTTGAAGTTTTCTGGCTAATGCAAATTTATTAACTTAGATATTTACTACAATAGTCCAGGCAGCAAAACCTCCTCAGAAGATTATGTAATAAAGATGGAATGAGAATGGCTATACGTGATGTAAATATTATAGTCAACTCACAAAAACCTTCTGAGAAATACATTATTGAGGGTGCTATTGGGGGCAAAAAGAACATTTGGGCTTCTAATGAACCCCTTCAGAACATCCCAAAGGAAATGAATGAGCTATGATATCATTTTGTTTACCTCTGTCTGGTAGGCATCGTATAAGAATCCTATTCCACTTGAATAAAACTGACACCTTCTAGTGTACAAAGGTCTAGGGTCCTGCAAGGAGAAAAAATATTCATGAAAGTATTTAATCCGGAATAACTGTGCAGTCATAATACCATCCCCCACTGCCAAAGGAACATGTTGGGGGACCAGTTAAGTGCACTGCAGTGCTGTCTGCTTTCCAATCTGTATCTGCTCAGAAATCAGTTGCAAAGGGTTACATTTCCCTTGCCCTCTCTACCTCTAGGCTGTGCACGGATAATTTATTTTTCTCTGACCCAATGGCCTCCTTTGACAGACCAGCGTCTCAATCATTTAATACCTTTTTTTCCTCCCTACTACTTTCTTCCACACAGAGGTCAGATGAATAACATACTCTTCTGAGAATGGTACAGCCATTATTTCCCGATGCATAAAATCTAATCCAATTAATCTTAGAATTAAAGAAAAGTATTTGGTAATTTACTTTAAAATACAATGCCTTACTTTTAAAGATTTTAAGAGTCTTTTGCCATAGAGAGAACACAGAAAATAAAATAGGATCTTTAAATATACCATTCAATTTTTCATACAATAGGGCCCCAGGGAACTAACTCTTCTCGTAAACTAGCTAACTAAATAAATTGAAGAAAAGACAATAATGAAATGAAGGAGAAAATCTAGAGCTGAGCTCATAATTCATAATGAATCAATATTTGCCTCTTTTTCTGTTCATGAATAGCTGCAAAAAGATTATGATTTTCTCAAATATATTCACTACTCAAATTTACTTCATTTTCTTGATGCAAAAATCTACTCAGTGATAACACAAAGGGAAAGTCTGACAGGAATATCTACTGGCTGGCAGGGAGGGGCATGCTTCAAGCAGCAGCCAGTTAGTAAATGACCACTTGAAGGCTACTGATGTTTGCCTCTGCTAAATTCAGGACTCTGAGTGGGATCCACAAAAGTACTAGGCACCTAAATCCCATTTTTAGGCACCACTGCAATCCACAAAACACCTGTTCAGCTGCTGTCTAACCCTGTGGGTGCCTCAAGTCACTCAGTACCTACAATAAAAGTTCCCGAGTGCCTATATTTCTGCCTCTGAGTATGTAATCTGCTTTCTCATTGAGGTGTCCAGGCACCCATCTCCTGCCTCTGACCCAGAGCGGTGCATGAATTGGGGAAGATAGGTGTTTGGCCACCTAACTAGCACGTGGGGCCCACTTCAGTAGGTATGCTCAGAGGCTGGCTATCAGACTGGGCCCCTTGGTGAGCTCACACAAAATAACTCCGAGAACGACGACTTCCCTTATAACCTTTAGCCCAATTGTTAGGGTACTCATGTGGGGATGTGGGAGAGCCCCAATTCAAGCCCCCCCCTCTCCACCTGAGGAGGAGAAAGGAGTTGAACAGGGATCTGTTACCCCTCAGGTGAGTGCCCAAACCACTGGGATATAGAGTCATTCAAACATTATCTCTGGCCCAATTAATATTTCATTATTCAATTATATAATTGCAGTGGAACAGCTTCAACAGGAAAGATTGAGGAAGCCCCGCATCTGACTATCCCATAGCCTAGTGGTTAGATCATTCACCTGTGAGCTGGCTGATTTCTGTTCAAATCCCATCTTCTATTCATCAGGCAGAAGCGGAACTTGAGCCAGGGATCTCCTACATCCCAGATGAGTACCTTAACCACCAGGCTAAAGGTGATCAGAGAGGCCTTCCTGCTTTGTGTAGTATTAGCCAGACTTTGAGCACACCTACTGGATTGGGCCCTGCACACGACTTAGGCAGCTGAAAGCCTGTCTTCCCCTGGAGCGGGAATCACAAACAGAGATAGGTTCCTCCCTCCAGCCTGGACTGAGGTTCCGAACTCCAAGAGGGGCGCTCGCTGTTCAGGACACACCCCTCTCGTCGACATCTTTCATTGGATAGTTTAGGCAGCTCCTGCCTAGAGTGCTGTTTTGCGGATCCCATTCTAAGGCCCCTCTCTCCCCCCAATCATTGTATGGGGAGCCACAATGCAAAACTCAGGCTTTGTGGATCACAGTGTTGTTCCTGTGAATTTTCTAGGCACCTAAACGCTAGAGCTAAGCATTGTGACAATGAGCGTCATAATCCCGAAGTCCCTTTTGTGGATTGTGTGTGTGCAGGGGAGGGATTTAATGACTGCACAGATCTCTCTCACCAGTTGTATTTCACAAAGCAAAGCAGAGTGTTGGAGGAGTGGATCTGAATGAAGCTGGCACTCACAAAAAATTCCATTTTGCCATGCAGGTTTTTTAACATCTTGCTGAAGCCTAGTCCAGCAACTGAAGAGCTCTGAGACAGCTCTATCACAGAGTGTCAGTGAGACCACGGCAAGGAAAGGGGTGGGAACACCATTATCTACCAAAACCCTCTTTTCCTGCAAATTTACAGGCAAAGGACTAGTAACCCATTAGAAGAAACCCAACCCTCCCTCACCTGTCCTTTACTGTGTCAGCTTTGGTTTCAAAACCTGTTGAAACCAGGTGTAAACTGGCAGCTGAAGCTAGGGCTGTGCTAGTTAAGATCTGCTCTCAATATTTTATAATGAACTGCATAAATCTGTAAACCCCAACAAGGCAATCAGAGAAAATGCAGAGTCCTGCAGGAACGAGACAGGTAGATTAATACAGCTCATTCATCATGTTACTTGCTTTGACCTTCTGATTACCCTGGCAAGCTAAAGTAATAGCTTGAAGACAACTGCCTAAGGATTGGGTGAAGCTTAACGTTGCATCCAATAATATTTGTTTATACCACACAAGTAGAGAATGAATTGCTTCAGTAACTCCTATTCTTTGGAAGAACAGGAAATACCAGACTGGTGGAAATAACATGTCATTTCTAGAAATTGTAAAACTGGAAGGATGTTATTTTTCTACTCTGGGAAAATATTAGGTTTTAGCAGTAAGTTCTTTCACTGCTTGGGAGGGGAGGGAGAGGGAGAGAGGAGTAGTGAGCAGAGCTGAAAAGGAGCACAACACCAAGAGAAATGACGCTTGCTCCCAATATAGACATCGGTAACTTAATTAAAAATTGCCATTCGTTATGTCCACAGCAGAAGCAAGCTTCATATGTGAAGGGCTGAAGCTAACCTTTCTTTGTGCTAATAACCTGCACTGTCAGAAGAGATACTCAGTGCTAATGTTGTCAAACACAGCTGATCTTACTCTTATTTTTAGAGGAAGTGAGAGAATTCCCCCTTTTCCACCACCAAACATAGGAAGAGGCCTTCGACTCTACTCTCCCAGCTCACATGATGTTCCTACCCTTTACGTCTCCTTCCTACTTAATAACAAACTTTGCTTATCTCCTGCTTACTGCTTTGGCCACTGAGGGGGCACTTGATGTGTCCACACTGCTTGGCTGTCCCGGTGAGGAACAGAACAGGGGTGATGAACCAAACTGTTCAAAATAATCATTGTTTTACTGGAATGTTGTGTGGAGAAAATGATCAGGCCTTTGACTTGTAGTGGCCACTGTAAGTACAATTAATTCATTTGGTGCAACAGCATAGTAACCCCATACATTTTTGCATGCAGCTACTTTTGAAAATGAAGTCATCTGAATATAGAGGGCAAATTTTCTGATCACAATCAATGCCTCTCAATGTATGTGTGTGTACATTAGCCTAAATTTAGTTGCCAGACTACATTTTTATTTGGGTGAAGGGTTCAGATTTAACAGATCAATGACCCACAAAGATACTAAAGATTAATTAACATTTAGTTTATTCAGATATCCAAATAAATCAGGGATACAGTCATCAAGGTTGATTGTGCAGTATATTAAGGCTGCTGAAAAGTAGACTAAATAAGAACCATGATTTGACTTTTTTTTTTTTATAAACTTGCTCATATACAATGCAGTCTGCCTGAAGATTAAGAGCACACAGAATATAATCACAGAGACATTAAAAAGTGTTTAAAAATTATCCTACAATATGTCATACTTTATTAACGCTTATATGATTTTATTGCTCCATGTAATGACAAAGGAAAATGAACCATGTTTCAAAGCTGTGAAAGTATTCCTACTGGACTGCTCATAAAATGAGGTCTGATTTTTTTATATTGCTATCTGCAGACTGCATATGCATATGAGAGAACTACCAATCCTTGACACTAATACGTATAGCAACACTTTCAGAAATACAGTAGGTCCAGGGGTCGGCAACGTTTGGCACACAGCTCGCCAGGGTAAGCACCCTAGCGGGCCGGGCCAGTTTATTTACCTGCTGACGCGGCAGGTTTGGCCGACTGCAGCCCCCACTGGACGCGGTTTGCCGTCCGGGGCCAATGGGGGTGGCAGGAAGCAGCGCGGGCGAGCGATGTCCTGGCCTTTGCTTCTTGCTGCCCCCATTGGCCCGGGACGGTGAACTGCGGCCAGTGGGGGCCACGATCGGCCGAACCTGCCGCGTCAGCAGGTAAATAAACTGGCCCGGCCCGCTAGGGTGCTTACCCTGGAGAGCCGCGTGCCAAACGTTGCCGACCCCTGGTCTACTCTTATACTCTATTAATATGTATTATTTTAACCTATTAACATTAACTCTAACATTTCACACCAAGAATATACTTTTGTTACATGTCCAAATAGTACTGAAGATAAATTAAAGAGGTTCTATTAAAAACAGACTGATGTCATTTTTAGGGTGTGCACATTACACGCACACAGTAAAAATGCCATTGACGTATTATAAAAAGACATTCTTTAATATACACACAGAGATGAAGAGATGACTACGGCAGCTAGATGCTAAGGTGATACAAATAATAACATGTGTATTTAACATGGGCTAAGAACTACTCTAACAGTTCCCTGGAATACTGGGGAAAATGACAATTTTTCTTGAAAATTAATTCATTGTGGCACATAACTAAATAGCTAGACAAAATTCAGCTTCATGTTGTCAGTAAATCAGGGTTTCACCTGTGCTCTCCGCAGCAGGTCTATGACTAGTGGTGCTTTCCAATATGCCCACTCTGAACCATCTCCCGTTAAAGGGGCATTACCCCAACAGTGTTGTTTGCTGCTTGAAA